CGAAAGACCCCGGTCTCCTGAACTTTGTTTTTCCCACTAAACACCCCTATCTTTTCATATGAAGCAGATACGGTTGTGGTTTAGGAAGTGGAAGGGACCAAAAGTTTTTTGGGAAAAATTATACAAAATTTCGCGAAGGACAGAAATCATCATCATCTATGCAGTGGTGAAGAGAATACGAAAGATTTTGGGGACTTAATAGCAATTTCAATGAGTTGGGGGACCAGTTAAACATTTAAGGGACAAATTTAAAGACCCAAATTAACAACAACCATCTTCATTCGGCAAACCATAATTACTTAACCATATACTTTTAAGGGGGAGAAAAAAAAAAGAGGCTAACTTTGCAGAATAAAACCATAATGTTTCACTCTATTTGCAAGGAAATATACTGATTTACATTGACACTTGGGCACCATATGAAAAAGTACACAAAACACTAGAATTTTACTCACTTTTCAGATCCTCTTTATCAGCAACGGTAGGTAGAATAAATTGAACAAAAAGCTCAGATCAGCCCTTCTAATCAGATGTGAAAGGATGGGTGCAACAGGATGGCCTGCTGAATAGCAGACCATTGCCTGGCCATTAACCAATGTAGACACTCTCAAAGGTGAGAAGCATGTGAAACTACAAGGTATTTAAGGACCAATCTATAACAATTGAACTACAGGAGTATTAAATTCAAATTGGCAGTAGTACAGGGGGTCTATCCACAAATAACCTTAAAATTAATTAGGATAGACCTCCTGATAGTTAAAAGAGTGCAAAAAGTTTCCTGAGGGGGTCTATTTGCAACAATAGAACTATAACGGGTCCGTCCGCAATTGGGTAATAGTACAAGGGATTTATCTGCAATTAACCCAAGTAACCTTTGTATTTTGGGACAATGGGAACATATAGAACTATGTCGGCTTTAAAGTAAATGGGGGCTGAACTTTTGGTTTATAACCAAAAACCCCTTAGAAAAATTGAGGGGGGAAAGAGGCTATCAAAAGTTTCAAAATAACAATCCTATTTTATATGTAGTATATGAAGAAAAATCGCCATAAAATCCTTGATCCCAATGAAAAGGCAAATCATCATCATTTCGAAGAATAAATAAGCAAGATGTAAGAGGAGACCAACATCAGAACACTAAATTTGGAAGCCGGAGATATGCTAAAAGATATCATCATGCTTCAGAAGGCATCACTCACACTTCAAAAGCAAGATAAATCATCACAAACTAATAAGGGTAAATTTCAGAAAACCACGAGGAGCTTTGGGGGTCTTTTGCACAAAACTATCATAGACTACCTAAGATTATACGCAAATGGCTGCAAAATGGTTGCTTGCACTATAGCAAACCATCCAAATTGCCACGCCAATGTTGTATCCAAATTGCCTCGCCGTTCTACTTGGGTCTCTGTCTGGTGTCGAAGCTCATATGTTCGTTAATATGGTCTTTGGTCATAGTTGACTTCAGGGTGAGTCATGATACATGTGACGTCATATTATTTGCCTTCCCTAGATGTTGGGTGTTTGGCATAACAGGAAATAGCAATATTCTGGGACTAATTTCAGATTATGAAAGATTTAAGGAACCAATACAGAAAGAAACCTACATACTCATGAGAGCAAAAATGGCAATATAGCAAATCATCCAAGTTGCCTTGCCTCCGTAGCATATTAATTACCAAGCTTCTTGAGAACTAATCACCTAACCCCAATCATTTTCCTAGGTCAGATCACTACCTGCAGAGAAAGATAAATGTTAAAATCAGAAGTTAGCTGTGCTACAGGAGAACTCCATAGAGTCTCACCTCCTTCACATATATAAACCTCATTCTTTTATCATAAAAGGCACAAAAAACTAACATGTGTCATAAGTACATGTGTCCATCTGTCTATCAAAAGATGACAAATCGACACCTAATCTTATATTCATCTAAGAATTCTCGTCAAATTATTAAAATTATCCAAAATTAGAAAATTCCAATAATCAAATATTTTGTATCCTTATTAGATTACTAGTGTGCCCCTTGCAAAACACGGCCCCTTGATTTTTTTTAAGCATTGCATTTTGAACCTGCCTCCCTCTAAGGTTTAATACATTTAATTTGATTGTTGTATGCTTAAAATTAAAAATCATATCTACTGCTCCATACTTAAAAGGGTACTGTTCATAATACAGTAAAATACTATAGTATAAACAGTAAATTTACTCCTCTATACTCAAAGGCGGACCCAAAGATTAACTGTAGCATTTACTGCAGGATTTATTTACTGTAGCATGAACAATAATTCTTTTGATCCTCCTATAAGTGTAGAGGAGTAGATAACTACCCATTTTTTAAAAAAAAAATCTCATAATCATATATTTAAATGTAGAAATATATTCAAACCTAAGAATCCTCATCAAATGTAAAACTATTGACTATTAGAAAATTCTAATGATCAAATATTTTGTAATCCTTATCGGATTATAACTATCCATATTCACAAAAAAATCTCATAATCTTATATTTAAATATAAACTCACGTAGTCTCTACATAAAATCACGGGTCAATTTTGAAACACCCTTTCTCAACTGTTTTAATTTGAGAAAAACCCCCTCAAGTTTGAGCATGTATTGTAGACAATCCCCCTCAACTCTGAGAATTTGAGATAACCCCCTAAACTTTTCACTCAACTCCGCTCAAATACGAGGTGTGTTTGAGAAAACACCCTCAACTATTTTAATTTGAGAAACGCCCCTAAATTTTGAAAATTCAAGAAGCCCCCATGAACTCTTCTCTCTTTTAAAGCTAACACCATTAGGTTTAGCATGTCATATGACACGTAGGTGACTAAAAAAGATGAAAATACACCTTACTCAAAAAAGTACTCTGGACTGTTTTTGGGACAAGAGAAAGATAGTAGAAAGCGGGAGGGAAAAAACATTGTAACCGGTCGGAGGTTTCTTCATAACTGAATGGGTTGATTTTCAAAAGGCTATTTCAATTGTTTTAAATTTTGAAATGATGTCGGGGGTTTGGTAAGAAAAGTTTGAAAGATTGGGTTTTTTGTGAGACACCTCATCTATGAGGGGGGCTCACTAATTTTCAAAGTAGAGTGGGGTTATCTATAATATGCCCAAACTTAAGGGGGGTTTTCTCAAATTCAAATTTTGTTTGTTTTGTTTTGTTTTTTTGGTTTTTTATTTTGGGGGGGGG